AAAGAATCGTTGGCTTATTGTAAATGTTCTAGTTAAGTTTTTGGGTTAACACTAGGTTAGGTTAGGTTACATGGTGAACCCCCTTAACAGGGATCCCATGGTTCCGCACTTAATAGCTGAAGAGCGTATTGGCGGGTTATTTTTTAGAGTATAGTATATACTAAATCCTTAGGATTTTCCTGCAAAAAATCTATTGATCAATACTACGATATAAAAATATATATCTCTCTGTTGATTCTCAAACAAGCAAACCGTGCTGAGAATATTTAATTGTTCATTTTCTTAAAGCATTATCTTTAATCTGGAACTTAATGAGTGTGTGTTTTTGTTCAAACACCTTTAGCTGAAACTTTTCAGCTTTTAATAAGGTCGCATAAATAAAATTTTAAGTCGTTTAAGTACAGAAACATTTATTTTTACCATTATTTAATTATTATTAACACAATAAAGTTTATATCTTACAAAAATCACAACATTAAATAGTATTTTAAATACATTTTATAGACTAGTAAGGAACAGTTGCTTATATACACAACAGTTTTGTGTTTACATCAATTTAAAAACTGAACTTACCTATATTTTTTTATATTGTTATTAACTACTATATTAAAAATAATTTACACGAGTTTCTTAAATTGTATACTTCATTCATTCACAATGTTATATTTATTAAAATGTCAGCACTTATTATAATCAAACTTAAAATTTTCAGTGTTTTAAAAATTTTGTTCCTGCTTTAAATACGAGATCTTAAAACATATTAAAATACTGAACACAAAAAAACGAAGTCTCTAAAGTATTATCTTCATTATTATAATGACCTACAGATTTTCATCGTGTCTTCTCAAAATGATAGAGATGGATCCTACGTGAAATCGTATATTCAGAGTGCAGAAGAGGGTGCTAAAGTTTGTGTATTTCTTAAAAAAAATATTCGGAAACGTGTTTCAAGCGTCAACCGTAAACTGGCATTATAATTTCGAAGCACAACAGTAAGTAAATTACTCTCCACTACTAAGAGGGCATACACATTTTTCGACTTTTATGTATACACAAGAATGTGTGATGTGATTAGTGCCTAATCAGTCAGACATTTTTGGCAGTCATGTAACAATGTGATGAGTGTTGAGATATCCCATGTAAAAAATAATCAAGAGGGCTTCTTATATACTACGTAGTATTCATCTGGGACGACATACGAGTATAATATGGCCAGACGAAAACGAATCTCTCAAAGCTAGAAATGTTCTGTGCTTCTTGAAAGCTGTCGTGCTCAAAGAGATACTTTAACCTGGTGGTGATTCACAATAGATGTTTAGTGTCGCCGCACACGGGCCACACGCCACAGCCACAAACGCCGCCACGAGAAGCTAGAAGCGGCTACTAAAGTGGCTGAAGCGCGCGACGGCGGCCGACTAAGGCGTGACTAAGGTAAGGAAGAGAGGGGTGGGGAATCGCGCGAGTGACGTGTGGCAGCGTTTTGTATCGGCGCATTAAATTGCCGGTGTGGGCCACAAGAAGCAACGACGATTTGTAGCGTGTGGCGGCCACCGGCGTACCGTGTGTGGCGAGTCCATATAAAATGTATGAAAACTACAAGAAATATGCCGGTGGCGGCGTTTTGTGGTTGTGGTAGGTGGCCCGTGTGCGGCGACACTTAAGGTCACAGTGACTACAGTACCATTAGGACGGCGTAGTCCCAAAAATTAGAAATAATAACAGTATCAAGAGAAGGAATGTCACTGCCTTCTGATGCACTTATTAATTTTATTTGATCATAATTTAACAAATATAAATACCGAAATAAGTTCCATGAACTCACACGAAATACATAGCTATTCAGGTATAAACACAGTAAATATCACTGAAGAGCTAATATTAATTTGTACTCATCTGACTTACAAACTAGTCTTTGAATCAGACTAATTGTACTAAAAGTCATAAACGTAACAATTTCAACAGTTCGTCTAAATACTTATTTATAGATATTACAGATATATTACAGATCAAAGTTCTTTACTCCATTTAAATGTTATTACAGCGAAAATATTTAATAACAGAAGTCAATGTCGAGCCGAACAAAGGCGGGTCAATGAATTCAGTCAATCAAAATATTCCCCAGAAAAACATCGTTTGTTTTTAGAGAAATCACAAAACAATAGCCGAAAATACGGCTCATTAATTTTATTATACCCGAGGAGGCTGTGTTTTTAGGAATTACAGAATGCTTAACGCAAATATTGTGTTGATCTTGAATAACCCTCGTTTAATTCAGAATTTATCCCTTTTTAAGAATGATGACTAACTACTTTTTTTTAGTCTATTAGGAAGATTAACAAAAAGTATTGAACATGTATTTTTCTTTATTAACATAATGAAAACATTACAGAGATATATATTGATTGGAAATGTTGCATGACGTCACATGGTATAATGGTACATTTTTTACTTAGAACTGACGTCACAATCCCCACTCCCGAATTTTGAAGCGCTTTATTGTTGTAATTATTTGGTTGATTGAGAGACAAGAGAAAAAATAAGTGTCCATTATTTTTTGATAACCCTACTGATGGACTCAATTGAATTTCGTTTACTTTGCACCGTCATCATCCCTGATTCCTTAAGCACTTTATACACCGCCAAGGCGCCTCAACCATTACTGCGCCTAATTTACACTGACAGCGAAGCGAATTATCCAAGAACTTTATTTAACTAGCGACAAAATGTCATATCTTTTATTCAAACATATACTAGCGGTTGTACGCAACTTCGCTGCGTCGAAAGATTGGTTTTCTATACAAACTTCCACCCCTCTTTTCACCTCTTAACAACAGGTTTTTGTGTTGAGGTGTAATAGTAATAGACCGCAGTCAAAAATATTTCCAAAATTTTTTTTACGCAATATTGAAACCCTTCATGTTTTACAGTGTGTCGTGATATGACTTAAGGTTAGTGTCGCCGCACACGGGCCACACGCCACAGCCACAAATGCCGCCTCGAGAAGCTAGAAGCGACTACTAAAGTGGCTTAAGCGCGCTACAGCGGCCGACTAAGGTAAGGGTGAGAGGGGTGGGGAATCGCGCGAGCGACGTTTGGCGAGTTTTGTATCGGCGCATTAAGTGGCCGGTGCGGGCCACAAGAAGCGAGCAACGACGATTTGTAGCGTGTGGCGGCCACCGGCGTACCGTGGGTGGTGAGTCCATTTAAAATGTATGAAAACTACAAGAAATATGCCGCTGGCGGCGTTTTGTGGTTGTGGTCGGTGGCCCGTGTGCGGCGACACTTAGTCATTTTTCATTAATTTATTTTATCATACGCTTAAGTCAAGTTTTTGAGATGGCTATGTTTGCCCCTTAAAAATTGGGAGTGGGGTAATTGTAGCCTATGGTTTAATTAAATTTTTAACATTTTATATGAGACTATTAATTCTTTTGTGGTAGTGCCTGATAATATCAGTTTCTAATCGTATTGTATGGTTATCCAAAGTTAACCAACTAGATGTCCCAGCACTAACGTAAATGGACAAAGATACATTTACCCCTGATGGTACTTTAAGTAAATTTAAAGCGAATTGAACTCTAATACATAGCATTGAAGTACAAAATTGGTAACACTAAGTTAGGTCTGACGTTTACTATTAATTTGAGAATTATAGATACAACAATAAAGACATACGGATGGTTAGCTACATTATCGCAAATCGGGGGCAAATGTTACTATTGGCGGTTTTAAGTGTCTATCTTCAATTTTAAATAAATTTTCTCAAATCCTTACCATTTAAACTAAATTACTACGTTAAACGCGTAATATAACGAATAAAGTTTTAAAACAAAAATACCTGCAATCTTTATTCCAATCTGTTTTTCATTAGGCATGTATAAAATTAATAAATTTTCATTTTACAATAAAGTATTGTATACGGCGTTGGTCCTTTATTTTTGGAGTGATAGCAATATCATTGTTACTTCCTACTTTAATCATATTGTTTAATGTAAAAATATTTACACATAGTAAAAAAAATGATTCATTATAAAAAAAGGCCCTTTCATGCTTATTCAAGTTTTTGCCATTATGACGTAGTTTCTTAGGTATCGGAAATGGGCGAATTTTTGTTACTTTCTCAAGCGCTTCTGTAAATTTGCTGACACTGGCTTCCGTTGATTTTCCTTAAGGTGCCGACATTATTTGTTGTGCTGACACGGTATTAAAATTTAAAAATGTACAATCTTACGTTTTTTGGATACTACAAAAAATGTAAATAATATAATATTGTAAATGTGAAATTTTGTATTTGCTTCTCCCACATTTGCGCGATGAAGCTTATGCTTATGTACTAAAAATTGAATAAAATTACAGCTTGAAATTTAAATTAGTTCCATCGTAACTACGCTCTTTCAACCGTACATACAGATTTATCGTCCCTCAGAACCTCTTTGATGCGTCATGCGTGTCAAAAATAGCCAGCTATCGTCTAGCGTATATAGAAACGCAGCCCGATAATACATTACGACATAACTAATCTAAATTTCTAACTCTAAATTTAGAGCATTTAGTAGCAAAGTCAAAAGTAGAAGCATTACTCAATAACGCAAGACCTACTGAACGGATCTGGATGAAACTTGGTACGCATATAGTTTATGACCTGGATAAAAACATAGCATACTTTTGAAGTGAAACTTCTTTACGCACGCTATAGCTTGGGGGGTAAGCTGGCGAAAGCGTTACGCGTTACGAAAAGTGTGTTCGGGCGAGGCGAACGGGAGTTGAGTGGTGGATATAAGCAAGAGAAAGCAGTGCGCTTGCACATTTTATTTCTTTCTTCCTCTTATAGCTACTAAATGAAATATGTATATGTAAATACATATTTCATTTTCTAGTGTGTGTGTGTACAATATATACATGAATATATGTATGTACATATATATATATACATATATATATATATCCAGATCATAAACTATATGCGTACCAAGTTTCATCCAGATCCGATCAGTAGGTCTTGCGTATATATATATGTTACGCTCAAAGATCGAAAACGCTCAGTGAGCGGAAAAATAGCTCACAACGCTTTGTGGTTACAGTAATACATCCACATCGCGAAATTCGTGTTATGGCTATAATGAAAACGCGCACGACGCGTTGTGGCAATACGAAAAGACCAAATAGCGAAATTCTCCCGACCAAACATGCTATTCGATCTCAACGCGTTGTGGCAATGAAGAAAAGCCATGACGCGTATGGAATATTATTTAATTACGACGCACACTACTTTCCGATATGGATCCTACTAGGCCTAGGCTGGAAACGTTTTGGTAGATGTCTTTAGGAAATATTTTATAAAATCACTGCATAGCGTGTTTGTCATTATTAAATATGTTATATAATTATATTAATTAAAATAAAACGATATTTGCTTTTATTAAGATTACTTTATATTTAAAAAAATCAACGTATTAAGTAATAAATTACTAAACACAAAATATATATCAATTGTAAATTACTTATAATTCACTTAAAATAAGTAGGGATTTCAATTTTTTTATGACAATTTAAAATTCTTTCATGTAATAAAAATATTTAACACAAACATAAATGTTTATTGATCACCAATAAACAACAACAATGTACTTAAATCAATTACTTATATTAGAAATTACGATAATTGTGAAAAATAAGTATTTGATTGCTATTTATTTTTACAGGAACTATTACTGTGGTATTTTGAGTTGCATTTTATATTATTGGAGCGACACTTGCACTTTCTATCAATACATTATCTTTTGCAGTGACACATTATAAACACTTCCTTACTTCCAGATGATAACATAGATGCTGAGCGAAGTGTTAATGACGAAGTTGAGGGCATATCACAAAAGTTAATAAAGTTGGTTTCAGAAAGTGTAAACTCATTACGTGCATAAAGTCTATCGAATGTACGAGTACCTTCCTTGTTTCCTAACTGGTAGAGACCTGATGAATTAATGATCATAACAACACACATAACATTCCTGGGTGCTGCACGTCCTCTTGATAGAGGACGTGCAGCAACTTACAACCTGTCCGTCGTGATATGGTAAAAACAATGAATGCTCAGAACGCGTCATGGCTCTTCTTCATTGCCACAATGCGTTGAGATCGAATAGCATGTCAGCCACGACACGAATTTTGCTATTTGGTCTTTCTGTAATTGCTACAACGCGTCGTGCGCGTTTTCATTAGAGCCATAACACGAATTTCGCGATGTGGATGTTTTACTGTGACCACAACGCGTTGTGAGCTATTTTTCCGCTCACTGAGCGTTTTCGATCTTTGAGCGTAACATATATACAGATGGAGCCAAAGAAGTTTCACTTCAGTCGTGTGGTCATAAGCACACTCGTTTTTTTTATCCTAGAAAAATTAAAGGTTCTTTTGGGATTCTCAAAAAAAAATCCGAAAATTATAGCGGAGGAATCGCGGTCGGCCGCTAGTTAATTAATAAGTTTAACTTTTAAGTCTCTAACAAACGCGTTTAGTCGTATACAGGGCAGTCTCTTGTGTAATGGTTGTGGATGAAATGAGTTGTGCACATGTGTGACCTATGGTCGGCGTGTGTGCACTGCCGTCGAGTCTTGGACGTGGTCAGACGACTGAGCGTGGTAAAGTTCTCTGGTACAGACGAGTTTGAGCACCAGAACGAGCGGCGGAATTCTCTCCGGAACTTACCTGTGACAGAAATTGAATTGTTATTAAAATAATCTTTTCAAATATTATTATTTTTTGAACGAGCCGCAAGAATTTCCGGCTCCAACGGCCATCAGTTCTGCGGCTAATATGACCAGCCCACTGCCACTTCAGTTTACTAATTCGGTGGGCTATGTCGGTGACTTTGGTTTTCTGTCAGATTACATCATTTCTGATGCGGTCCTTCAGGGATACTCCAAGCATAGCCCTTTCCATAGCTCTCTGAGCGACTTTAAACTGGTGGACTCGTCCGGCCGTGAGTGTTCACATCTCGGCGGCGTATGTCATAGCTGGGAGGACGCACTGGTTGAATACTTTCGACTTGAGACATTGAGGGATGTTCTTGAGTGGAGACCACGACTCGGTTACGTAGTGTAGGATGTGTAGGCGTGCATTAGGGGAGATCTACGTCCAGCAGTGGACGAAAACATGGGTTGATGATGATGATGATGATGAACGAGCCGCAACAAATTACCCTACCCCACCTGATGTTAAGTGTAGGTGGAATACAGTCACGAAGATAGATGATGCGGCAGAAAGTGTACCGCTGCAGCCATCCTCAGCTTGCCGGCCTGATCTCAATCCTCTACCCCGCAGAGCCCTGGAACCCATCTCACTAGCAGAAATACAACACCACCAAAAGGTAGTGTTATTTTACTGTGGTGTTTTGTAAGGTGATTGCTTCTATGTGTGTGTAAATCTGATGCTCTATTTCTCTTTATCATCATCATCATTATCAGCCTATTAATGTCCCCACTGCTGGGGCACAGGCCTTCCCTATGGATGGAATAGGGAGTCTGGGCCATGACCCACCACGCGGGCCCAGTGTGGATTGGTGGGTACTAACGACTGCAGATGCAGCCGGGACTAACGACTGAACGTGCCTTCCGAAGCACGGAGGAGCTCGAGATAGTAAATTTTAGGTTACCCATCCTATGACCGAACACTGCGAAAGTTGCTTAACTTCAACAATCGCAGCTAAATGCGCTAACCACTTGCGCCATCGAGCTCCTCATATCTCTCTCTCTTAAGTAATAAATAATTTACAGCAAATAAAATTAAAATAGTCTTAATAATTTGATACCCATATTGTAGGAATAAATGATTGGTCCGCCATTTTGGGTATGCCGCCATGTTGGATTTAGAATGACGTCACACTATATATCATGCATTGTCATCCGAACTGAACGTGCATACCAAATTTCAACTCAATCGGCTGAAGGCAAGTGCCTTAAAATTGAGTTGTAAGATACCACCCGAACAAACATACAGTGTAAGTTAAATAAAAGCTTGTAAAAAGGAGATTTGCTGGTGCAGCAATTTGACTTTCAAGATTTATATCCTTTATCGCGCCTCTTTTAAAAGCCACCATGTGTTTACAGGGAACAAGTACTACTAGTACAAGTGCATTTTTAATGTAAGGGAATACGTATGGTGGTAGATTAGTGTTCTTCTCCAGCATACCCCAGCATGCCGACATGCATTATTTACGAATAGAACCATAATAACCAAGGGTATTATAACCCTTGGTTCGCATCGACCTAAGTTAAGGAGATTGGAATAATTAAATCTTGCGGACTATGTTTAGGGATTAGGTAGTTATATTATTTGCGAAGAAGCTTAACTTATTGTATGGAAAAGTTTGTTCATGAAAATGTAATCTTAACTGTCCCATGGGCGTAGATACAGATTTTATTAAGGGGGCAGGCAGGGGTCCACGATTGCACCCCTCCCCCTAGAATTAGTAACTAAATCTCAAATCAAGATATAGATCAGTAACTCGCAGCAGCTCAGGCGCTCCTAAAGAATTTTTCCTTTGCATTCGTGAAGTTAATTTTACATTCCTTCCAGCAGCTATGCCCATGGATGTCCCGTAAATAATTTACAGATAACACATTTCAGTTACTGCGTGATCATGGCGCTTGCAACAGTGCTGAAATATCGGACACCCATAAAAAACAAGGTACATTGTAACAATCCCGTTAATAGCTTTAACATATTTCAACTGTAATAAATACAGTTCTTCTAAGGTACTTATAAGAAATCACAATTGAGCACAAAATTATCAGCGAACATCAAATGAATAGAAATCACCAATATTTTATTCACGTGTCTAAACTATCTTTTTAATGTTCTCACTACTGCGACACAGGCCTTCCCCATCTCTATCTTCTGTTTCCTATCTTCGGGGGCTCAGTGTAGATTGGTGGATGCTAACAACTGCAGATGCAGCCTTCCGAAGCACGGAGGAGCTCGAGATATTAAGTTTTTGGTCAGCCATCAATGACTGAGCATTGCGAAAGTTGCTTAATTTCCACGATCGCAGATCGAACGCGCTAACCATGTTGTGCACTATTGAGTTCCTTAACTTATAGGTAGTAAGTCCTAGCAGATGGCTCCATCCCCCCTCATGTTAAGTGACGGTGGAGTCCAGACGCAAAGATAGCTGGTACGGCAGTTTTATCTGCCACTCTAGCCATTCTCATCTTGTCAAGCTGCAAGTTGATCTATATAATAGTGTACTCACGTTCTTAAATTTGTAATGCATCTAAGTTTTAATATCGGACAGCGAACAGACATCATAAAAGCAGATTGTTTTGACCGAAATACGTTGCTATAACAAAGTATTAAACTTCAAGAATGGTTTGAGACTGACCGACGGTCGATTCTTGACTATATTTCAAAGATTGGTAATCGACCGACCTTCGATGTCGCGCCGTGTCGGGCGACATCACTTTGTCGTGCCGTGTCGCGAATACTAATGACTTTCATTCTTGTTGCTAACCCTACTTCAATACGTATATCAGTGTCTAGGGGACACCTCAAGCTAGCGAACTAACCCCTGAAGCGAACAGACATCATAAAACGTTGCTGTAACAAAGTATTAAGCACTATATTATGAATGAATGAATGAATGATCACTTTATTGTACACCATGAAATTTTAAATTACAATTAATTAAGATTATTACATAATAGTACAAACGGCGGCCTTATCGCTAAGAAGCAATTTCTTCCAGGCAACCGTATGTTAACTGGACTGTTACATAGAGAGTAGGAAGTAGATGGTGTCATTTATAATACTTATATAATACTTATAAATAATTATGAATAACACAAAATATATATAAAGTCAGTAGAGACAACTGCTTTTTTCTGCACCAACCTTACGGACCTGAGAAATGTACAGAAGTTCCCATCAATCAACTTAATTTTTAACTTGCCCACTGTTCTTTCTGATAATGTTGACTGGTATCATTTATTATAATAATATTTATATAATAAAAGAAATAAAGTTCAAATTCATTTGAGAAATATTTGATAAGGCTTTCATAAAGGATAGGTAGAGGTGTATATTGAATTTACATTTTCTTAAATTGTCGATAAAAAAATATTTCATTTAATGATTTCCTTGTGTGACATTGGTTGATCATGCATGATCATAATGAAAAAAAAAAGAAAAACTAAATGATACCAAAAGGATTAAACTTGACGTTTCAACCCCTTATTCATCTGGAGATTTCGACATTATTCGTTCCCAAATTATAGCATCTGACTGTACGTCTTGCTTATATTTTTACGCAAGATAGGTAAGAGGCGTAGACATTTTATAAATAATTAGGTTTTCTTTATAATTTTTATTATTTTTAAAGCATGTAACTGCTTGATGTTTAAATCTAAAGATTTTCTTTGGTGGTTTAGAGGTTTTCTTTGTTAGACGGACATTTTGGATAATTTCCAGGCATTGTGGCCAAGCCAATTGTTGGCTGAAATTTCCCGTTCAGATTGTCTTACTACAGCCCACTCAGTTAAGTAAATTACAGCTCTCAGACTCTACTTAGGGAATTTATATGAGTTAAGTTAATAACAAAAAATACTGAAATAGATCAGCTAATTTTTATTATTTTTAAAGCATGTAACTGCTTGATGTTTAAATCTAAAGAAAATATAACTAGAAAAAATTCCACGCGGACCAGGCAGCAGACGGGACTCGAACCCGCACCCTTCGCAATCCGGGCGAATGCACTGACCAATTATGCTACCGCGGCCCTCACGGACCGCGTCGAAATTTTTTCCAGTTATATTTTCTTTAGATTTAGATCAGCTAAGTTAATAACAAAAAATACTGAAATCCATTACAGCTATATATAGTCGATGGCGTAGGTGGTTAGCTCGTTTGGCTTGCAATCGTTGGAGTTAAGCCACTTTCGCTGCGGCCGATCATTGGATGGGTGACCAAAAATATATTATATCGAGCTCCTCTGAGCCTCGGAAGGCACGTTAAGCCGTTGGTCCCAGCTGCACCTGCAGTCGTTAGTACCCACCAATCACACTTCCTATTTCATTCCTAGGAAAGGCCTGTGCTCCAGCAGTGGGGTCATTAACAGGCTAATGATGAAGAGTCAATTGTTTCTGCTAAGCATAGGATATTGCGACAACTGGTCGTTGGAAATACTGACCGCTCATGAAGTTGTAGATGAGTGGATTGATCGCTGAGTTGGCATAGCACATCACGTGGGAGACCAGTGCCAAGAATGTCACTGCGTCATTTTGTTCCATATCCATGGTGTACCTGTTTACAATATATAAGGCTGGTTAGACCTTCATATCACATTCAAGGAAACAAGGAAAGGGCACCGAAAATAAGTAAAGCGATATCATATAGGAAAAGATGGTTATTTTTACTTATTTCATAATTACAATTTATTGTAATGTGTTAATATCTCGTGCGATGTCCAGTATAGAAACCAAAGGCCAAACTGGCCTCTAATAGGCTTGGATTCTTAATCTGTCGAAGCAGTACTTCACGTCTAAGCAAAGGCTTCTGCTCTACAAAGCGTAAATTATTCCCCACATGAAGTACTGCACCCTTAAGTAAAATTCGATTCTAGATTCACTTTAAATGTGTACCGATTTTTAACTCTCGTTACGTCCGTTGTGGCGCTGCAGTTCAAGTTTCCATTCAAAATTTCTAAATGACATTTTGCACTCACAAACTTAACGAATTCGACATTGGATCGTGCTAAGGTGCTCACATCTCTGGGCTGGAGCTCTCAAATACTTAGATAAATAGATTTGATTTCTATACAAAAACACAATTAGGATTGTCGATGATCCCAATTTAGCGGAAAATCTGGAGCCTTTAGAATTGCGCGGGGACTTTGGTTGCCTATGCGTATGCTATAGGCTCTTTCATGGTGGGTCCTCCAAAGAACTGTTCCAATTCCTACGCATTTTTGACTGTTTTTATTGACTTTTATAGACAAAAAATCGGAAAAACGGTTTTTAAAAACCGGTTTTTGCATGCCCTAATAGTAACCCTTCTTAAGGAGCCAACTTTTGATATAAATTTTACTACTTTCTCCTGGGATTTCATTGTAGTAGATATACCTTAACCCACTAATAGAACAAGAACCGTTTGGAGTCTAAATAGCTATTATTGCACTGATGTTATTGTTAAACAGTTAAAGAAGAAAAAGAAGATTTTGGCTTATCCATTTATTATGATTATGAACACTGATGGAAATTATTATACTCGATAATACTATGGTTTGAGAACAGAAGAAGATATTTTTTTTATTATTTAAGAAAGACCATATCTTCGTTTGATGAACTTTTGAGTTATTTATAACCATGTCTACAAAAACGATCGTACTGGAGAGGCACAGAAAGTCTCAGAGCGGACTAAAATGGTCTAAATGTGATGCAATATCGCAGGAATGCGCGATGCGAATCAGATCGTAAGTTCTTGCGGTGCATTCGTGCGAGCTCGCAGGTATAATAATAAGATATCAGAAAACTACGCACCCTTTTGTAAATGCCGGGCTATGGTAGAGGAAATGATAACTCTGGCGTACGATGCATACAAAAATATTGTTCATTGTAACTTAGCAAAAAATCCAAAGTCTTTCTGAGATTATGTGAGATCACAAAAGAGTACAGTGAATCGCGAAAAGATTACCAAAAATGGAAGTTTTTACCTGATTCTGAATGTGCAGAAAAGTTCGCAAAGTATTTCCATTTCGTACACGGTAATGAACCCGCCAAGCTAGACGTGGCGGAGGCAACGACAGCCGGCGGGGCGAGGCATCTTATTTTCCGAAATGCTGATAAACCACACGGGTTGTGCCTATCCCTAAAAGTGATGGCCTATCGCGATTCTATCAACGCCGGAAAAAGTATTTGAAGGCGCATTGCAGCGGAGCATTCAGTTGCATATATCAGCTCAATGAAACTTAATGAACGCGATGACCTACATTGTAGGTACCTAGTGTCTACGCAGGAATACAAGTTGACGTCGCCTACTTCGAATACAAAAAAGCGAATTGTCGATAACAACGTATTGTTGGCGAAGTTGGCTGGGGTCGGTTGCACTAATCAACTCCTTAATTTCTTTGCAAGTTACATGGGGGATCGAATGCAGTATATCGAGTATGTTGGGTACAAATCTGAGTCTAATATTACCAGAACTGGGGTGAGCCAGGGCAGCAACCTAGGCTCATTAGAATTTAACGTTATGATAAATGACCTGCCAGAAGTGGTCAAGGATGCTCGATGTCTTCTTTTCGCAGATGAACAGAAATTGTTGTGGGCCGCAAAGGACTGTGAGGATTGTGAACGGTTACAAGGAGACAAGGAGACAGGGTGGTGGAGTGGAATCGAAAAAATTAACTGCAGTATAATAATAACAAATGCTCCATAATATCTTTTATGAGAGCACAAACTCCGCTCCACTTCGACTATAAAATTGACCATTTAAAATTACATAGGACTGAGACAATCAGAGATTTAGGAGTGCAATTAAATCACAAATTAAATTTTCAGATCATATTACGAATATCTGTAGAAAAACATACAGAAGTTTGGGATTTGTTTTGCGTCATTCAGTAAGTTTGACGAATATGAAAGCGATTGCGGCCCTGTATAATGCGCATATACGAAGTCAGCTCGAATTCAACGCGATAGTATGAGCTCCTCACGAAACAAGATATAGGCAAATGATGGAGCGCATACAAAATATATGTGTGATATGTATGTGCGTGTATGTGTATGTATATATATAATATATATATGTACTTATAGTGTTTGTGTGTATATTTATATAAGTATGGTCGTATGTATAATTAAGTGTTAGTATATTTGTTCATTGTTTGATTTTAATCTCTCTTCTTTGATTCTGTCGTTTTATTTTAGCTCTGTATGTTCTTTCCGGTTGACTGGTAGAGAATGCCATATTGGCATTAAGTCCGCCATTTGCAGTGTAAAGGCAATAAAGATTAAATAAATAAATAAAATAAATTAAACTTATACCTAAAGTTATACGGAGTGTACTCTTACTATCCGTTGATGTACCCAACCTTGTATGTAGTGGGCATGGTCGGTTACAACAAGTTGGACACAAGGAGGGAATTGGCACTCGCTTATTACATTATCAGGGTGTTGCGAGGCATTATATGAACCCAAATATATTAGGATTGCTAAATTTATGCGTGCCTGATAGATACGTGTGGCGGCGCCGGCGGTCACCGCACCTCTGACACGGTAACATTACCGTGCCTCTGACGCGAACAATACACAAGCTCAATGTAGTTGCCGAGTCTATCGATTTGTTCACCTGTTCAATTGGCGAGTTTACGAAAGTAACTTTAAAATTGTTGAGTTTTAAATAAAATTATTGACATTTTGACGGAATATATTTTAATGTATTTTGAGTAATGTATTCTGAATTTTGGATTTTATTAACAATATTTGTAATTGTTTCGAAAAGGTAATGCATCCTAAATTGAAGTTATCTTTAAAGCGTTTTAATTAATATTTGGTTACATTATTTTTTCTTTTATTTATTATTATTGACATATTTATTGACATTTTAATATAGTTTACAGTATTGAAATAATAACGTTAATAATTCATGTAATATTATAAGAATGTATTGTTAGTTGAAAAGAAGACTACACTATTGAATTAGGTATATACCTGTTATAGTGGTGTAATGTATTTTGAATAAATAAATAAATAAAACAAATATTTGCGATGCGATGCAGATTCGCATTAATGTATGGGAGCACTAACTCCGTCAGTTAGATTTTCAAAAAATAATGGAAAGTTATTTTTTCTTTTGTTAATCAACCAAAAATTACAAAGATAAAGCGCGTCTAAGTTGAAAAGTAGGGGCTCGTGACGTCACTACCTGCTAAGTAAAAAATGATGTCATGCGATATTTCAAATCAAGATACAGAGACATCTTGATTTGAAATATCGCATGACATTTCGTTTTCAGATTAGGTGAATAAAGAAAAATCTAGAATAGAAATAAAGACTAACTGCTTTTTAGAAAAAGCATTTAGTCATTATCTCTATTCATAGGACATTTATGAAAGTCAGCACTTAATTTTGAAAGCTATTTATTTAAGAACGTAGGTAGAGAAAAAAATCACTTAATAATTCTCTTCGAAGTTTTATAACTAGTTGAGACGTTGTGATAACAAATTAAGTCAGGGAACTTTTCTTGAAACAGTATTTTTCTGTTGATCTCTTATGAAAATAGGCAACTGCGCTTCGATTTAGAAGGCGCTTTTAAGGCGATTAAAAGTTACTTAGAAGGCGCTTTTAGTAAGTTATCAATTCTTTCTGCAAATATTGAAAGTCCGACCGAAAGACGAACCGTGATGGACTTGTGAAGGAATTGAAATCTGGAAAGCTTTATCCATCATTGATGCGTAGTAGCTAAGCAATATTTAATACTAATGTTGTAGAAAGAATAATTGTGAATTATGATATTAACCTACTAATATTATAGATGTGAAAGTTTCTATGTTTGTTCTCAATCATGCAAAAAACTACGGTACAAATTTGGATGCACCCACGTCCGCCACGGCTTAAACTACATTTGTTTGAAAGGTATTATAGTCAAGATCATCTGTGCCAAAGCGCATCAAATTCCATCCCGGGGGTCTTCAGTTATTTTAAGTTAAATAGGTACAAGTACTATAACAAACGAACATTAATGAAACAAGGGAATTAATTTAGTTAGTTAGTTCGACCCTACATAGTGTGCTCAGGAATTATAGGAGTACTTCACAAGGTGCAAGGGTACCCCCTTTAGGTTATTCTGCCGCGCTAGAGTAAATGAAAAAATCCCCGCATGGGTTGGGTTTTATTAAACATTCTGTTCGTTATAGTAAATTGTCTTCTATGTAAAACGGAGCGACCACAGATTACACAAACTTATCCAAGCTTCGGAGAACACATGATTCTAGTTCATCCATACTAATTGACAAAACCGATAATCGTGTTCCAATATCCAAAGCGTGTTAGATAAAAATCAATCAAGTAGCAGGGAGCGCACAATCACAACGAAGTAAGACGTTTCGACTATTTGCAACTGCAAGTCCTTCAGCATCCGTAAACCGTTTTGAAATATCTCAGTAAGAGCAAGCGCAGGATAGTCGGCAGGCTTTGTCGTATATCTCGTTGTATAGTAGGATATACCATATTATTATGATTACTAATAATATAAAATGAAGGTATTATAAAATGAATTTGTTCCGCTACTTAAATATGCCCATGTGT